AGTGATTTTGCAAAAATCGAAATTTGGAGATTTTCCCCGTGAGGTGTAAAGACACGCGCGAATACGGAAATTTGTTTCTAGAATTTCCCTGTGAAAAATTCTCACTGTGAAAACCTTTTCACACTCACCACTGGACAACGGAAGTCGAATGAGCGAGCAAGACGACGCAAATAAGCGCAAAAAGACAGCATTCCGCTACTCTGTGTCAGCGGACATTGACCTCCTTAAGGAGGTTGTAATGGTAGCCCCCTATGACGCACCCTACGGGCAAACATCCGCGCGATGGGAGGAGATTTGCGACCACATGCGCCAGCTCCACGGGGACTCCCTCACCACAGCCAGCTGCAGGAAGAGGTTTGACGATCTGCTGTCAGCCTTCAAAAAGTCGACCCTTAAAGCGCTCCGCGCCTCTGGAACAGAAGAAGAGTACGTAGAGCGTGACCAGCTCATGCAGGATATCTCGGATATGGTATAAGCCGACTACTGTGACGATGTGTACTGAATTGTCCTATTAGATGGATGTTGCATTGCTACGCAAGAAGGCTGCGAAGCAAGTCCAAGAGAGGCGAGAAAGTGACGGCCATTTGATTCGAGAGGCAGCGTTGATGAGTATGAAGCGCAAGGCCGCGCAGAATGATTTCGACCATACGCAAGCAGAATCGCCCCCGGCCAAGTTGATGGACAACCAAAAAAGCTCTCGTCAGGCCACTGTCCGTGAGTCTACATCGTTTGTAGCAAGTTTTACTTTGATGATGGAGGAGTCGAACCGGATCAAGGCCGAGGAAATTGCCATGAAAAGAGAAGAAATTGCGCTGGAACAACGAAAACTCGAACTAGAGCAGGCAAGGTACGCTCTTGATAAAGCAGAGCGCGAAGCTCGATTTGCAATTGAAAAAGCAGAACGTGAAACTCAGGTAGAATTTTTGCGTAGCACAATTGAAATGATGAAAGCAATGAGAAATTAGTCATTGTAATTGTTGAGTGTTTATTCAATTTGGTTCTTTCAACTAGAATGGTTTGGTTGCACATGCAGATATTCTTCTGCTGTTGGTGGATTAACTCCGAAATATTTGGAGATTTGGTTTCCTCTCATACACGTGTGAACATTTGTTAGTAAAACAGCAACCGAGTACTGAATACCAACAGCTTGAAGCCAGAGTTTTTGTCCTCCTTTATAATCTACAAATGTCCACAAGTTGCGTACGATACCGAAACCCCACTCAACACTCACACGAACGGAACTCATTCGCCGATTAAATTCGGCTTCGTCCTCATGTAAATGTGCACCTTTAAACCCAGACACAATGACATCATTGATCCCGTATGCAGGATCTCCGTAAATCACAAATCTAGTACATCCTACCAATAGTTTGGGCGTCAAATTTTCAACAAGTTGACTTCTTGCAAGCAGGTATGCATCATGGCGAGATCCTGGCTTGGGACCGTGAAGATGCACGATGATGCCGTCCGGCGATGTAACTGCTTGGTACTTCACAGCATGCTTTCGCTATCCAGACATGAGTCAGAGCCAATGTAGACTCAAATTCTCACCTTGTGACCGTTGAATGCCGTCTTTTGCACACGCTTGCCAGGCCGACAAATTCCACGAACGGTTCCATCAATGAACCCGATACAAGTATCGAGGGGGGCTCCAGCTGCATTAATGGCCTTCGCGCAACGCTGCATCCAATCGCTGTTGAGTCTTATGTCATCCCACACAAGCAGGTGGCCGAACGTGTTGTAGATGTGCTGAAGCACATGGATGGCGATGCTGGACAAGGCTTCTCGGCTTCTTTTGAAAATCAGCACCATTGAACCAAGCCGGTGTGGCCATGCGAGACGATTGAGCACGGTGCAGATTCCTTCAACAGGGTCCACTCTGTAGCGGCTCTGTGTTATCATCGGGCTTGGCAACAAGAGCAGTCGCGCGAGTGTACGTATTTCACTCTTTGAAAAACGGAAGTTGAACTCGCAGTCCTGGTCGCTGTGGTCGTTCAGGTCAAAACGGCCGCAAGGAATGGAAATGGCTCTGGAAGTAGATGTAAGGTGTTCCACAAACGCTGCGACTAATGGAAGTACTTCGTGTCCATCGGCCATGTCTGTGAATGAAAATTTCCGTTTGCAAAACCAACTGAATGTCAAATTTCCGGATTGACCTTTCCGGAAAAGTCTATGTAGAATTCAACATCTGCAAAATCGCTCTAATATGTCAAAGTATGATTGCCTTTTGGCTGAGCGATTATGGTGACCGCTGTCATTCGCTGTGACCCCTCTTTAACTTTAACTATTACCAAATATACCTATTCCAGAAATATCTTGAACATCACACCTGTGCGATATTGGTTTCATCTTAAGGCACCAAGAAGATAACTTCGCTAACAAGTAAATCATTAATTAAGTTAAAACTTGAGTGAGAACGACTGATCGAGCGTGACCATCTTGTCCATATCACGCGTCCTTCCCGCATACACGCTCGCAAGGTCGTGCAGGGCGGTGTCTGCTGCGGGATCGCCCACTGCCGATCCAGACAGGCACGATGTATAGAGACGTTGGATCAGCACCTTGGTTGAAGACCAGATTTGTTCCCCAAGGGTGGATCACATCAGTGCTTGGTGAAGCGTTGAGGATGAGAGGTTGCGAGAACTACCTCTAGCGTGAATCGAAATGACTGGGCCCGCCAGAGCTGCGTTGAGGGCCGCATCGCTTGTGTAGAATAGGGGGGCCATGTAAGCCAGCACTACTTCGGCGAGTGCGAAGATTTTGTCGGTGTCGGTGCATTGGACACGGCACTCGTCCCCAATGTCGTCCGTCGTGTAATCCTCAAGAGTAGACGACCCCGCGAGAGCAGCGAAGTCGGCTTGGAGGGACTGCAGCGAAAAGGCATGGTGGAATACGGTGCTGTAGAGCTGGCCAAATGGAAGAGCTGTCTCCCAGGCGACTCGCATCCAACGGCAAAGCCCTTGGAGGTGAACCAAGTGAAGCAGGAGGTCTATGAGCTTGCGGCCGAACCGGATTGCGTGGGTTGCAGGTATTGGTGGATCTTGTCTGCGTCGCCGTCCTCAATCAGCTCGGTGAGATTAAACGCAATCCTGGCATCGCCCACGATGTCAGAAGAGTCGATTGCAGCTCGCGTAGACGTTGTCTTCGCATCGAGGAGAGTAAACTCTTCGAGAATCGCGTCCAGAAATATTTCGACTCGGGTGACCGAGTGCCCCACAGGCTTTGTCCCACCAACGTACGTGTTGGCGGAAAATACCACTGGGGCGTCGGGAGCGGGTAGAATGGACGGGAAAAACACGCGTGCGTCGCCTATTGGTCGCCTGGGCTGGTGCGACCACGATATGTTCACGCAGAGCATCGAACATGTTGGGTGACGTCCACGGACGCGCAGTAGCAGCGGAATTCGGAGCGTGACGGGACGACGGCTGGCGGGGAACACTGACCCATGGGGTATGTTAGGGTGACTGGACACATTTGCGTTTGCTGTTGCCACTTGGGCGTCCGGTTTGACGCTGCGACGGGCTGGTGGGTTTCGAGATGCGCTATTCTTTTGCAGCAATATCCAAGTCGATTCGCTGGTAGCCCTTCTTGTGGCTGTACTACACTTTGCCATACATCCGGTAGTTCTGCCCCATGAAGATAATCTCATCGATGAGACGGCCGCCGCTCGTGAAAACTCGAGGAGCTACGTCCGAGTTGAAGAAGAGTCGGTAGCGCGAGCCTCTAGCACGAAACGTCTCCGACACTTGGGTGCACTGGCCCGAGATAGGAGGAGCGCCCAGAGCAGCCAGCACTTCCCAAAGGTAACGTTCCACAGGACGCTCGTGCACGAAATAGAGAACCTCTTTCACAGAGTTCCTAGGACACAAGTCCTCGGGCAACCGTTCCACTTCGGTCGTCTTGCACCGTGGCTACATCCGCTTCGCTCCCGTTGTCCACTCCGCCGACTTGTATGAATGCATGAAGTCCCACACGTTGGAGGTAGGTGGGGCGGACATGGTCGAAGAAGACGAAGCAGTTGGATGCTCCGTGCTCTCCGTGTCCGGAGTTACCGCAGATGCGATTGCCTCCAGTGGAGCTGCGGGGGTCGTCTTGTGGTTCCAAAGGGTCGCCGCGGAGAAGAAGGCGAGTGGATGAAGCGCGCGTCACGGGGGGCGTGCAGCAGGGTGCGTGGCAGCCGTAACTGGAGCGGAACCCGCGATCACCGGGGTGGGCATGGTGGCGGGAGGGTAGTCAATTGACTTGAACAGCAAGTGTGAACTTAATGGTGTACAACGGACTGCGCCGTTAGTCTAATGGTTAGGAT